GGCTGTAGGCGAAAATGACAGTGATTTCGCCTACCCTCATCATCATCCAAACTTCATCTCATGGTCACAGTTGTTTGGTGGTATTTGAATTTTAATGTTTTTTCTACAAATCCAAATTACTTGAAATTTTAGGTGTGTATTCTTCTCATCAAGCCGCACCTAATAAAAATATATAAAAAAATAATCCGTAAAAAATTTTAACCAAAATACCCCTGAAACTTTATGGGAGTATTTTGGTCAATTTTTTTCATGTAATTTTTTTTTTTTTATATTTTTCGAAGATTCACCTATTTTTGATGAACACATGCTTAAAATTTCAAGTGATTTGGATTTGTAGAAACAAAATTAAAATTCAGACACTATGGCCTTCTTATGTTCGAAACAAGGCCGCAGGCACACATACAAAACCTTATGCGCTCTCTCTCTCTCTCCCCCGGCCAAGGCATTGGGCACTGCCTAGGCCATCAAATCCACCTTTTTGATCATTGGTTGGTATGCATTAAAGAGTGTTTTAGAATATATGGATTAAGGCGTCTGTTTCCCCTTCGAAAAATATATTGAACATGATTTTACAGCCTAGTTACTTTCTTTTTATAGATATGCATTTAAGACTTGTTTCATATAAAAGATATCACATGTATGTGAACCATATTGATTGATTCCTAAACAATTTGTATTGTGTTCCCCCCATAAGGGAATGGGGCCCACCCAAGACCCACCTCTAGGAGCGTGGGATCGCTGGGATTGCCACCAAGTTAAGATATCCCTGTAACTGAGGACTGATTACTATGATGGAAACATTGTTGCAATTTGAGAATCCCTAACTAAGATGAAGAATTAGACTGGTTCTCTTTAGTTGATTGATCAATTTTGTTATAGGGACTTATCCTTACATATATGTGGCATAAAGAATATAATACCCGTATAGAAATACATATTTACATCTAATATACAGGATTAAGACATATGCATCAACGAGATTGGATTTCAATACTCTTACTAATGGATGACTTGGACAAGCATGCACAATTACCGCTCCTATCCATGGTAGGTTTTTAATGCAACCGGACCTTGTTCAGAAGATGCGGTCCATTTTTTTTATGGTCGATTATGATTGTCTTCCACATCCTAAAGTTTTTAAAGGCACTTTGAGAAGGGAGAAAGTTTACAGTGTTTGTCGTGTAACCATTCACTACATCTTATTTGATTGTGGGGTCTAAAATATCATCTTCAATGGCATGGCCCATAGTTGTTGGAGCCGGGTGCGGGTTTGGAAGCAGGATTGGTTCGGGGAATGTTCAAAAACCATAGGGTAGAAGTTGCTTGGGGGGGTAGGATCGACGTCCGTACATTCAACTAGTTAAGGAGCTAGATCCTAGGATACGTGGGAGTGAGATCCCATGTCACTCGAATCGAGGTTTTGACTTAGAGGGATCTAAGCTTCACTATATAAAACTAGGTCAATTAATAGTATATGATAAAATTAGGATCGAGCCATTGCCCGCTCGATCCATTATCATACACCTTAGCTTATTACCAATGCCATAGTTATGATACTCCAATTTACTGTGATAATGCAGTTTAATAATATCATAAATTGGCTTACTATGATATCAAACAATAGTTTTTGAATACCATAATTCTAGTATACCACGATGTGATATGCACCACAGTTTAATATATTCTAAAGAAATTGATCTAGAATACTAAGGAGAGGAGCAATAATTCAATTAATAGTGTTGCTCCTCTCCTTGGAAAGATCCTACAAGCATATAGACCGAGAACCCATTTTATAGGGAGCGAGATCCTTATTTTTCTAAACTCAGCTTCCTCTAAGAGCCAGTACAGGAACTGTGGGATTGGGTTCCTAAGGTGGGACCGTGGCCTAAACCCCAAGGTTCCCAAATCTATAGCATGGCCACATGCATGCATGCGGCAACAAAATCTCGGAACGTTGCTCCTACTATCTGCAGCAAAACTTGGGTGCTCATTAAGCATTGAAATCACAACATTTCTAGCCTTTTCTTGTTACGACGTAAATGGAGTTCAGTGTCAGTAAACTTTGTCGAGCCAGGATTGTGGTTTGCATTCACTTTTCAAAATCTCCAGGACCTTGAAAACCTTAAACACTTCAATTTTCATTGTCAACCTGTCTTGACATGTACAAGAAGGAGCAAAGTGGCTGAGCTCCTCCCACATATTTTCCAAATTATCACAGCATTCATCGAGACTCTTGTCCCTTTGCTCAGTTGGAATGTTTTTATGTGACCAAGTATATCTTTTTGATGTTGAATAAGTATATCTTTTTGATGCTATCTTTCTGTGAATATTTTTTCCTTAGATAAAGTCTCAGAGGTTCCAAGGAACATCTGTTACTAATTCATGCTACATAGAACGGAGAACTATGCTAAAAGTATGGCATCTACAGCTAATCAATCCCCATATTTTGAATAAGTGGGACTAAGTAGTAGCCATCGATGTGCCCTTTCTTACATCTCCTATGAAGACATTGGTTTTAGATGCATTCATGCTCCATTTTCATGGAGGTGATCAAAATGTTAGGGTTAGCCCTATAACTCTGAGTATTTGCTTCAATGTAACCCTTTTAGGATTATGAATATGCAGGCCTAAGAGCCAAGAGCAGCAACACTACTACAATGCAAAACGAGAAGAAAGTTAGAATAAGTACCCTATGCAGTTTCAAATTTCTTCTTGTGTCTATTATACACCATGCATTTGTGCACATGATTGCATATCCGAGTATGTATTCGTGATATTTGCATTCTGCAAGTTAATTATGTATGTCATGACTCTTATGTCATGTAATTGTACACTAATAGAGCTATTGATTTTGGTTGGTTAGATTTGGAATTTGTGCCTAGGTAGTGGTGTTGTAATGCAAATAGATATATCACTTGTGCCTGGGTAGTGGTGTTGCAGTGCAAATAGATATATCACTTAGAAGCATATTGTTGAAACCGTAGTTACCTGGATCTCGCAAAAAGTGGTTGCTTTGGCTACAGAGTCTCGATCCTGTGCTCCGTGACAAGGATTCTCGATTACTGACATTTTTTTAATTTAGGGATCTCGAACAACAAAATTGGTGATCTAGATCCTTGGCTATTGGGATCCACATCCCTCTCACCCAAATCATGGGTCCATGTGAGTGAAGTCAAACTTTCACCAACATGGAATCGAGTTTCTTTTACATCGGTATCGCAGATCACCAACACATTTTGAGATTCATTCACAACGTGAGCGTGGATCACCAGCATATTTGAGTTGGTTTGTCTGGATCACAACATTTTCATCGAACGCTAGAGCTTCTTTCATACCTGAGGACTGAAATTTGAGTCCTCATTTTTGGGTTTTCAGTTTCACTTATGAAACACACTCCAATGATAATATAATTTAAAAGATATTAAAAAAAAATGGGATTCTTTGTATTTAATCAACTGTGGTTTTTGAGTTCAGGAATAACATTTATCATATTATTCAACGGATTTTGTTCTCATGCTAGAGCGCCTTAGTTAATTGTTCTAGGGGAGCCTCAATTCTAAGGGACACGGACCTCTATTTCATATACTTTATCATTCGATGCTGTACAAATTTGGATGGTATTCCCATCATGTCAGGATCATGATCCCTTTAACTCGCATTGTACCGATCTCGATCACTATCCTATTGATCTTTGTGCATCTCTTGATTCCAGTAACTATGATTGAAACCCTGAATTACGTTCGAGGGTTTAACATGGGATCAAAGCAATAATGAACCTTTTCAGAATGAATTCGTGTAGCTGTGAGTATTCATTCTGCAACACGGTAGTGTATTGAGAGAGAAACCATGACTGAAATCACCTCATTAGGGCCAAGTCATCTCTACATATGTTGACTATAAGACTGGCTATGAACTCATCAAAACCTGAAATTTCTCGAGGGCCCTTTACATTCTCCTTATCCAAAAGCATTGATACCCATTCAAATAAAATGTTTATTGGCCTATTAAGAATTTTTGGGTAGTCATTGAAGAGAATATGTAGATCTCACATTCATCATGCTTTGTTCCATTGAATCCAAGCTCTGAGAAATTCCTCTTTACCCATCTCAGCTACCTCAAGAAGGTTGCCAGAGGAAAGCATGAAGGAGTTCTGTTTTTCGTGATTCTCATCTTTAATAAGCAGTGGAGGTTATTGTGCTTGATACACACGTGGACTATTGTTGGAGTGTCGTCCTGATTGGATAAGTCTCCCCACATCCCTAAGTGTCTATCGTCAAATATCCGTAGTGGTTAAATTTACAGAAGTCGAGAGTCAAGAAGTTCTGTGTTTGTTGGAGATCTTTTTCTTTGGTGTCTTTCATGTAATGCCTAATGTTTGAAGCCCAGTAATACGTGTAACTATCCAAGTTGTATCAAATTAGGTGGGGTGGTTCATCAATCATCATCTTGTGGATGCACCTCTTAGCACACCTTTCTGTACTCTACTCAGTTTTGCAAGATATCTTTTTCTTCTTTTGTTTTTGTTGAGGAGAGGGTAAAACAGCAAGGAAGGGGTACTCTACTTATGGTAGGAATGGAATTCAAAACATTATGTCATGGCATGCCGACACCCTGACCACCTATTCCTTAAGCATTTCCTAGTATTGGAAGATACCTGAGACTTCAGAAGATGCAAGTTTAGGTTGATTTACTTAGTACTTTTATTACTTGTATGATTAGAACTAACATTAATCTTCTTTAAGATGCATATATTTCATCCAAGATCTAAAGTAATCTGGATATGGAATATTGAGATCATTGCATTCCTTGTTTTATCTTTTATAATGATACTTTTTGTTGTGCTTTTCTTTTCATAATTTCCAACCTTTTTATAATAATGATTTTCACAATGTAAAACTTTAGTTGAAGATGTGTTTTAGTGAAATATGTGACAACGTTTCAAATTTAAGAATTTATTATGTTATCCATTTCCTTAAATATATTTTTCCTTGCTAATGCAGATCTTTCCATCTTTGGAGCATCCATGGCTGGGGCTTGTATGGGTTTTCTTATGCATAATCGGCACAAGGCATCTTGTTTTATGGGTGATACTGGTTCCTTGGCACTAGGTGGAGGGTTAGCTGCCATGGCTGCTTGTACAGGGATGTTTTTCCCACTCTTTATTTCATCCGGCATCTTTGTCATTGAAGTATCATCTGTTATGGCACAGGTATTCTTCTCCATTTTGTTTTCTTGTAGTTGGGTTTCTTAGTTGCACATGAAACATTATGTAATACCAATATATCAAAATTACTTAGCAGAAATAAATATCATGGAATTTAAAATTATGAGAATTGAAACTTGTGGAGATAAAATTATTTTCATTAATGTGAAAGGAGGCTTCATGTCAACCTATATAGAAGTGTTGTGCAGACCAAACTGGCTGAGCCAAAAAAATCATCAATCACTGTCTTCATTAGGTATTGGTATTTTTTTTATGCATTTTGACCACCTTTTATCTGGCATTTTTAACATTTTGGTTGGTCATATTACTTTCGGGTTAGTGATTAGTTTTGGTCATTAACTTTTATTTAATCTCCTATTAATTATTTTGTTTTGTTGATTGTTCTGTTCTTTGTTAATCAATGCAAACCATAATTACTCTCCACCGTTGTCGCGTTTCCTGTTCCAAAACCGGATTCCGCGTTTCAGTTAAGGAATCTCCACGGAAACTGCTTTTCGCAACCAAGGAAACTTGATTCCTTAATTTCGACATCTCGATTCAACACATCTTTAGATACCATTTATCGGAACAAAGGAAACTTGATTCCTTAATTTTGCAATCTCGATCCAACACATATTTAGAAACTTGAACCCATTAATTGTGGGTAGACGTTCCCAATATATCGAATCTGGATTCCAGCAATGATTAATTCTTCATTCCACGTCAATTGGAGTAGAAATCTTCCTTCGAGTACTTCTACTTGTTACAGGGTTTCATTATTTTACTTGTGCCACTTGGATGGCCTTTACTTTAAATTTAAAATATAACTGGTAAATACAATATATACAATTAAAAGTAAAACCATGGTGTAGACATTATCCTATTTTGTCTTTATAATAATGAAGTCAAAATCACAATTTAGAACTATTTGTCTTTTGTATATAATGACCGTAAGTTCAATGGTCAATGCGATCACTTTAAAATTTGGAAAACCTGCTAATAAGAGACATGCAATATGGGTTCTAAAGTTGATGATGCTCAAGATGTGCTTGTGGCTTCCTTCTCCATAAAAATGAAATCTTGATTCCTGTTAGGGGTCATCAAACACATTCCATAGTCCATATTATTGTAAATCTCTATCTCAAACTGTCATGGATCTCTGATCCATATACTTCAGAAACTTGATTCTAAATATGTTAGAATCACTATTCGAAATAGCAACATATCTCTGTTCCACATGTCAGAAACTCGATTCCATAGATGTCAGAATCTTGATTCCGCATATTAATGAATCTTGACTCCTGGAGTGTCGATTTCAGGGAGATGGGAATCTCAATTCCAAGGTGGACGAAATCTTGATTCCATATGTGGATGAAACCTTGGATCTATTTCAGTCGAAACACAATTATCAAAAACTAGGAATTTCGTTCCTAGCGATTCCTATTGTACGAACAACGATTCCTAAGACAATAACCTTTTAGTCGGTCGTGATACTACGATTCCGGTTCCTAAAGCGATTCGGATTCTGAGGCGTTTCCAACAAATATGAGACAAACTCAGTGACAACTCATGGACTTAAATGGATAAACTGTCAACTATGATTCAGTGATCCAGGCTTTAAAATATTGAATCATAGAAGACATGGGGACACTGTTGAAAGATAAGATTAACAACATTTAGGATGGTTTTCATGGTTAAGAGATGCATAGGAGGAGTCATAAGGATTGAAGATTTTTAAAGGGATAGTGAGTCACATTCTAACTGCAAGAGAGTACAAGTTATTCATGAAAAGGCATGGGTTGTTTGTGTCAAAGCATGATTTATGTTATATGAGGTCATGTAATTCATGACCATTGTGAGACCTAGATGCAATTTCTGATTTGATTGGTACCTGTAAGGAGCAATTAGCAAGGCAATCAAATCAGTGGTCGGATGATGGGGCTGGCATGATTGATTCTGTCTCTGTTTAAAACGACGTAGACGTGCATTCTCAAAAGAAAAGATGTAGATGTGGCTTCTCTCAGTCTAATAGAAGGTAGCGTTGTATGCAAGTTAGTGTTAGCTGTTAAGTCGTTAACCTTTACCTCAAAAAAAATAAAATAATGCTTCTGTTAAGACACAGGTAATGATAAAATTTTGAGAAACAGTTCACAAGTAACATCTTCAGCATAATGGTAGAGGCTTTACTCTTACCACAAAAGCTTGTGGGTTTAAATCCCATAATGGGCATTGTTTCCATAACAATATAATATAAAAAAATACGGTACCACGTGTCTAAGATCTCTTGACCCTTAATGTCAGAGCCCTAAAACGATGACATGTATGGATCAAGGTCGGACATGTTTACTGGTTGAGGTGTTGACAAGCAGCGCAAGGTAAGGTAAAACTTGGACTATTTGTTTAACATTGTGCAAGATGCCATTGTGAACATGATATCTTCCTGCGAACAATAGAGTGACCATTGATTTTACGAAGTTGATGCAAGTATTGAGTTTTGCTAGGAGTCCAAAACAATTTGATTGTGTTGATTATGGTGAAAAATGATTTTTAATGTTTTTGGAATTTTTGGGAATCTTTTTTGAGAAATTGGCCGTACAGAACAAATCAAAGAATGCTGCACATGGACCAAGCACATGGGAAACATGGCAGATGCGAGGTCCAAATGGCCAGTGGACCCCACAGGAACCTTTTGGGCCCCGATGTGGCCTCCTTCGTGGGCCACCTAGAACTGATGTCATCATGACGTGGGTGTCTAGGTCTTTATTGAATACTTGTGTTTGTTAATGGGGCCAATGTGTTACTTTTATTTACTCACATGTAATGGGATTTGAGTGGCAGCCCTTGGTTATTTATAGATACCTAAGGTCAAAGATACTTTGGACCATAGTTGCTGGAACCTTGTAGGGAAGGTCATGGACCCGCTCCATAACCTCGATCCCACGATTCGAACTAGGAATCTTAGATGGAATGCGGATCCCTATATTGTGATCCTCGTTCCCAGCGTGTTTGAACCGCGGTTCACAAGTGTATGATTCAGTGCATATAATGTTTTATCTATTCATAAATGTTTCATATGCATTGATTTAAGTTTGTGCCCCATGGTATTGTGAACCCACGCATCATTTGCCATCCCTTAAAACTTACTTGTGTGATTCCTTCCTCATGGAATCGTGCTTCCCTATGACAAGGATCCCTCTCCCTTGATATAGGATCATATAGGTGATGATCCTGACAACAAGGAGCTTCTAGCAATACACAGTTCTGCAGACCCGAGGCAGCTCCCGCTCTTGGGAACACACCTGCACCGGTTGCTTAGGGGCTGGACAAAATGTAACTTGAAGACCCATCCTATGTCTAAAGTTCTCATATACATGCTTTCTTTTGATTGACGACATGTGTGAGTTTGTTAAAAGTAAAACGCGGAGATCCCATGGAATATCTTGTTTGTCTCCTCTCATGTGAAGGGAGAGAGAAGCTCCCCATGAGTGGAATGGCCCTTCGTTCTCTCTATACCTTTTTCAATTTAAACATAATGTGGAAATCAAATATCGAAAATTTTTTAAGGGCTCATATAATAATTGATCTAGTGTTATGTATAGTTTGAAATCAAAGATAACTAGGGTTTGGAAACCTAGGGGATAAGTTGTTAAGTGCCAACCTTTGACTGATAATAACTTATCAAAGAATGGATGTCTTGAATGAAGCCTCTCTCACCTCATGGATTTCCTTGTCATAACGCACATTGCTCCTTCTTAAGAAGAAGATTCTAGAGCCTTAAAAAACCTTAGCTCTCATCTATAAATGGAGGCCATGAGGAGCCCATTTTCTATTTAGCCCAATATGGTGTTATGTTACCAAAATTTCATTAAATGTCATTCTTAGTCTCCCATGCCCAACTCCAAAGAGCTGGCCTTGTGTAGAACTTAACCCATAGCAATTGTTAGGCATTTCATGGTCCATGGTGCATAGAACTACATGGACATCAACCCATAAGCCTTTCATGCAACCCTCCATCTTCCTCTTGGGCTTTATCGACCTTCACCATGTCTGCAATCAGCTGCAATTGAGGTGAATTTCAGTGTGTTGGCCTTTGGAGCCCCATTTCATACCTATGTGATGGCCTAGATTGGTTGAGTATCACCTTGGTGAGACTCTAAGTTCCAGGCACCATTGATAACAGTTTTGGAGCATTATTCTACTATATACAGCAGACCTTTTAGCCTCGTATCAGTCTCCATTCTCATTCATTTTAGTGAGAATCAAATAGCTTCTTTGGATTTCCAAAGATTGGAGCATGGTGGATCTCATATCCTGGTGCTATCGAAGGTGGAAATCCGGCATGGGCTACATTAGTCCCTTGAGGTAATCTTGGGTAACTTTCTGTTGTTGGTTTAAGGATTCCCATGGTACTTTCTTGCTTTGTAACTTCAATGGCATGTGAGTTTATGTGAATGCGAAATTGAGATTGCATTCTAAGTATTTGGTTCGTATTTGTTTGAGTTTTATGCCTCGGCCTGTTATTTTTGTGCAGAATTTTGTCCAACTGTATATTGTTTTGTAGAATGCAGTCTCAGTTCTGTTTTCGATTGGAAATGTCCAAGGCGGCAAGGCTAGAGGAGTCATTTGGGACTTGTTTCAGCCACACATGTGGTGATTTTGAGTTTCTTCACATTGTTGTAATGCTGTAATTTATATTTTAAGTGCTACATTTATGTGCTCATATGAGCTTGTTATGTTAAAATTTTAAATTGTACACCCTAGCTACTCTATAGTCTTAAAGCTTTCATTGGTACAAGACGGGCCTATAGAGCCCCATTTTCTGTTCAATTTAGTCTGTTCAATTTAATCTATTCAATTTAGTGTGTCTTAGAGTGTCTTGAAGTCTCTTGTTACTAAGGACTGTTGCTGCCGCTAATGTAATTTTGGTGGAATTGCTCAAAGATGACGAGTTTATTGGCCAAAATACTTCACATGGAGGTAGAAGGTTGTCTGTGTGATCCACATTGAGCAACTCACGCCCTTAATCACCCAATGCCCACCACTGCAAACCTGTGCTAATACTGCGCAAGTCACAAGGGAAGTCTGATGTGGGAGGCAAAGAATATTTGGGCTAAGAAAACCATTTTGGCTACTACGGCGATTAATTATGCTAGGGAGTATGAAACTTGCCGAACGGCCAATGAGATTATGGACAAGTTCAAGAGAGTCTTTACTCATCCTTCTTTGAGCTGTAAGGTCATGGCATTGAAGAGGTTGTGGACTACGTAGGCAAGAGGGCTCAAAACTTGCGCACGATGTGCAAAATTTCAAGCTCATGGTTTGTGACCTTTGAAGGAGCTGATATCAGTTTTGATGACTCCCTTCAAGCATGTCTGATGACTCCCTTCAAGCGTGTCAACTTATCACCACCTTGCTGCCATCATGGGATCGCTTCTCTTCTACTATCACCACCCGGGACACTACAATTACATTTGATGTGCTCATCAGGACCCTCTAAGCTAAGGCAGAGAGGGGCTTGGCATGACCCAGTCCACCTGGTAAACTCTCAACCTTCCTTTCAAAGTTCTAAGAAAAGGGGGCAAGCTAACGGGAGGCTAAGGGGAAGGCTAAGGTGGTTGAGCCTCACCCTAAGGCACATGAACCACCTAACCCTCCTCCTAGGCCAAATCAAAACAAAGTAGGCTCACTTAGGAAGGATTCTAGTAAGGGTTAATGTTTCAGTTGCAAGAGATATAGGCATACTATTCGATATTGCGAGGCTAATCCTCAACTTGACACTGGAGAGCGACCCACAACGCTGGTGCCAATGTTAGGAAGGAGAGGGCGTGTATGGTCTTTGAGACTTTGTTTGTCGACGGGCAAGGGCCAACCTATGGTGTTTTGACTTTGGGGCTACCGTGCATGTATGGAACACCAAGGTTAGTTATTGTGACTTTCGTGAAATTGAGCCCAGGAAGCAATGGATTTTTATGAGTGGAAAGCAAGGCAAGGAATCCTAGGAGTGGGTGATTTTTGTTCATGAGCTTGCTGATGATAATATAATCATTTTGAAACAAGCTCTTTGCACATCTAGCATGCGAAAGAGCTTGGTATCAGTCCCTAAGCTGAAATCAATTCAACATGCCTTACACAACTAAGAAAAACATAGTGGTCGAGAGAAGAAATATGACCTTGGTGGAGATGGTGAGGAGCATATGATGGGGCAGCACCAACCTCACCCTCAATTTTTTGGGTGAGACGGTTCTAGCCACAAGGTATATCCTTAATCAGACTCTCCCTCTAAGGCGGTCAAACCCTACCAAATATTCACCAGTTGCATTCCTTCTCTTGATCACTTAAGGGTATTTGGGGGTGTGCAGCTCATGTCCTTGTCCCCCAAGTGAATAGAACCAAGTTGGATCCCAAAACCATCAAATGTGTGTTTATCGGATACCCTCAGGGAAGGGGTTACAGTTTTACAACTTTGACATGGGGGCCATCATAGAAAGTACGGATGCCCACGTCTCTGATGATGAATTCCTTGATGGCAAGCATAGTTTTAAGGAAGGTTTAAAAAAATAGATCGGTGACCCGAATCGGTGCCACCCATACCTATTTCGGATCGGTCGATCAGTTCGGAAAGTCGGCTTAATCAACAATTTTTGCCCAAAAGTTTTTCAAAAAATCATTATAAATTTCTAAAAATAGTGTTCTTTTAGTTTCTAAAAGAAATTAGGAGTGGTGCATTATGTACTTTTGTTATTTTGTAAAATTAGTGTTTTAAAAATTGGTGACCCAATCTGGAATCGGGCAATCCAGATCGGGTATTGCCAAGACTATACCGGATTCGAGAAAAAATTGAGATTTGACCATTTTTACCAGTTCTGACATCATCTGACATCATGAAACCAAATTGGATTGAGGAAGGGGCACTTTTGAAATTTTTTATAAAAACAAAGAGCCAACCTTCAAAATGAGATCACGTGGGATCATATCCCCAACAACACACCCACCAACCACCTAACACCTCACGTGTATAATAATAAAGCTAGTTGTGAGCTTTTTATAGACCTTGAACTTCTTGTGGCTCTTCGATGTGGGACAAGGCCCATTCCTCCCATTTTAAATCGCAATAATATCTCTTTTTTTGACCAACTAATATCTCTCTCTCCACCCCCTTCACGCCTCCACCCACAACCACTCCTGACCAACTAATCTCTCTCTCTCCACCCCCACTATTGCCTCCACCCACGACCACCCCCGATCAACAAATATATCTCTCCCCCTCTCTTTCCACCCCCGTCGCACCTCCACCCATGACCACCCCTCTGCCCAAATACTTTAACGTGTCTCTCTCTAGTAATCGATTATAAAATTTTAATTATATGAATACGGTCACATTAAAATTAATTTAATATTATTATGTTGAATAAATATAATTATACAAAAATCGCTAACTTATTTAATATAATTATGTTAAAATTGTTATTGCTATATTGAAATTTTTATTGTTATAAATACATTAAAACATCTCATAATTTAAAATATTTAATTGCTACGTTATCAAAAAAATTATTATTGTTTCATAGATTATGTTATTTTCATATTTAGTCTAGATTGTATTTTTAAATAATATATTCAATTTTTACAAATATTGATAACAAATTTATTGTTAATTTTTTATTATTACAATAAATTATTTTATACAGCAATAAAAATTTGATATAATTTTGAATTCTATTAAGTTGTTATATAGAAATTTTTGTATCATGTTTATTATAATTAATAATTATATATTGATAACCAAATCTTGTATTTTATTTATTAATTATACATTCAGACAAGAAAATAACGTCTCAGTATTTACCTATTTTTACAGAGTACCAAAAGTACATAATGCACCCCTCCTAATTTCTTTTAGAAACTAAAAGAACACTATTTTTTGTAATTGTTTTGGGTCAAAATTGTCGATTCGACCGATTCTCCAAACTGATCCACCAATCCCGCGCGGATATGGGTGAAACCAATTCGGGTCACCAATCCATTTTTTTAAACCTTAGTAAAAATAGGTGAATACTAAGATGCTATTTTCTTGTCTGGAGGTATAATTAATAAATAAAATACAAGATTTTGTTATCCATATATAATTATTAATTATAATATACATGATTCAAGGATTTCTATATAACATCTTAATACAATTCAAAATTATATCAAATTTTTATTGCCGCATCAAATAAGTTATTGTAATAATAACAAATTAACAATAAATTTTTTGTTAATATTTGTGAAAAATTATATTATTTAAAAATACAATCTAGACTAACTATGAAAATAACATAATCTATATAACAATAATAATTTGTTAAATAACATAGCAATTTAATATATTAAATTATGTGATGTTTTAATGTATTTGTAACAATAAAAATTTCAATATGGCAATAACAATTTTAACATAATTATATTAAATAAGTTAACAATTTTTACATAATTATATTTATTCAACATAATAATATTAAATTAATTTTAATGTGACTGTATTCATATAATTAAAATTTTATAGTAGATTACTAGAGAGAGACACGCTAAAGTATTGGGGTGGGAGTGGTCGTGGGTGGAGAGAGAGAGGGAGAGATATATTAGTTGGATGGGAGTGGTTGTGGGTGGAGGCGTGGGGGGGTGGAGAGAGAGAGATATTAGTTGGTCGTGGGTGGAGGGGGTGGAGAGAGATATTATTGCGATTTGAAATGGGAGGGATGGGACCTGTCCCACATCGAAGAGCCACAAAAGTTTTAAGTCTATAAAAAACTCGCAAGTAACTTTATTATCATACACGTGAGGTGTCAGATGGCTGGTGGGTGTGTTGTTGGGGATATGGCCCCATGTGATCCCACTTGCAGGTTGGCTCTTTGTTTTATAAAAACTTTCAGAAGTTCCCCTTCCTCAATCCAATTCGGTTTTATGATGTCAGAATTGGTAAGAATGGCCAAATCCCATTTTTTCCTCGGATCCGACATGGTCTCATCGATTCCCGATCCGGATCGGGTTACCGATTTTTAAAATGCTAAGCAAGCTGACGTTTATGAGTTGGCTCGTGACGTAGTTGAGAACCAACTCACTCCTCCATGTCTCAACCACTTAGGAGGGGCCAAAGAACTAGAAGACCACCTGAATTTTTAACCTACCTATGGCAGTACTATGAGAGGATAAGTGAGAAATGGGTGATGAGCCAACTACCTTTCTAGAAGCCGAAAAGAGCTCTAAAAAGAATGGTTGGAAACCATAAGTGATGAAATCCATTCAATGGTACAAAACGTGTATGGGAGCTTGTCCCACTTCCACTCATTGAAAGGCGAGGGTAAGTTAGAAAAATACAAAGGTAAACTAGTAGCCAAAGGCCTCGCCCAAAGGCAAGGACTTAATGGTACATCAAATTTGATGAGACCTTAACTAGACAACGATTCATATCTAATGAGGAGGATCATGTGTGTATGTAAGAGTGACATTGTGTTTCTCTCATTTTATGTGGATGGCATTCTAATTACTAGTAACTCAATGATCCTATCTTGGCATATGAAGGCCTTGTTATCGAGTCACGTTTACATGAAAGACCTTGGCGAGGCATTATATGTGTCGGGGGTGAAAATCATAAGAAATAGATCGGCTCGTACCATCTAACTATCCCAGGCCACGTATTGCAAAATTTTCTATGGATGGATGTAAGCACATCCACTAAATGAAAATGAAGTCAAGCCTTGACATGTGCCTTACGACCAAAAGCGAGAAAAGAACAATGGAGAGAGTATCATATCGTGGCACCATTGGTTCCCTTATTTACACCACAATGGGTACAAGACCCAACTTAGCCTATGCCCAAAGCCTAATAAGGAGAATCCAAAGGAACCTGGGAGTGAAGCATTGGAAAGCGGTCAAGCGAATTCTGAGATATTTAAACAACTGATTTTGCTCTTATTTATGGGGATGCTCCGGACATGACTGTGCATGGAGGCTTAGATGCCCATTAGCAAGGTGACTTAGACCAACTCAAGTCCATATCGGCTTACCTATTTATTTTGGGTGGTGGGGTTGTTTTTTGGCACTCAAAGAAACAGACGACACTAGCTCAATCCAACATGGAAGCCGAGTTTGTTGCCTTTTGTATGGTTACTAAGCAGTGTGGATTAGAAAGATCTTTAATCAGTTGAAATTTGACTCCGTTAAGTGTGGAACTGTGTGCATTATGTGTGATAATTACGCCACAATTTATGCAGCTAAGGAACCAATATTCCATAGCCAATCTAAGCACATTAAGGTAAAATATTACCATAATTGCAATGAGATCGCAGGCCGTGAAGTCAATCTACCAGACATTTGCTCTGAGGTAGTGCAGGCGGACCCTTTGTCAAATGGGTATGTGGCTAATGTGTTTTCGAAATGTGATGAAACTTCTGGTTGTAATACATGAGAAAGTATGTGTATGGGTTATGGGTAAGGAATGTAGTGAGACACAATCTATTTGTACATAAGGCCTCAAAAGTCTAAGTGAGAGTTGGTAGGCTTGTGTGGCCTTTTAAGGCCTTAAAACGGGGTAACTCATTTCCTTTATTGTTTGTTGGCTCTAGTGGGAGCTTGGGCAGATAGTTGGGGGGCTCGTCTACCCTTGTGTCAGGCGACGTAGGAAATTCAAAGAAGAACAGAAAATCAATAATAATTCAGGCCAAGCAGAAGTAGCAAATAGAAGAAACCTATGGTTTCTTCATCAAACCAACTAAGGCTTCTAAATTCACGTGGAATGATCCCCTCTAGGCCCCAGGCACCTCTTAAGTAACAATGTTTAATGTTCAAGGACATTAAATGTCCATACAATAAATAAAATGACACAAGT